GATGTTGTTGTTGTTAAGGGCTGTTGAGTTGGTTCCGACCCATAATAGCCCTATACAGAGTTTCCAAGGAGCAGCTGGTGAGCTTGAACCGCCAACCTTCTGGTTTAAACCGACTTTGCAGTCCAACGCTTTAGCTCACAGCGCCTATGCAGAAAAAACTCTTAGTGTTGCCCTATATGTAAAAACTATCATTTTAATCCTGAAAATGTAATGAAAAGTTACCTTTATGCATTTAATAATAAAATAGCTACCAATTTTAAGGAGTTATTATGGAGTCCTGGTGTGGCGCTGTGGGATAATGTGTCAGACTGCAAAGTCATTTGAACTGCAAGGTCAGTGGTTCAAGCTCACCAGCTGCTCCTAGGAAACCCTATACAGGGTCACTGTGGGTCGGAATCGACACTCCAGCACTTAACAACAGCACCAACAACCATGATCATGAAGTCCTTATGTCAGCCATAGGATAAGCACTCAACCTTAAAGTTAGTTTGAACTACAAGGTCGGTGCTTCAAACTCACCAGCAGCTATTCGGAAACCCTACACAGACTTGCTATGAGTCAGAACTGACTTGACGGCACTTAACAACAACCATGATATAGGCATAATTGCCAGTGCTTTATGTGTCTTATTTTAGCCCTGAAAAATTTTTTAAAGATAATTGTAATTCCCATTTTATATCTTAGGCCCTTTAAAACTAATAAAACCCATACCCATTACTGTCGATTTGATTCTGACGCATAGAGACCTGATAGGACAGAATAGAACTAGCTGCCTAATAGGGTTTCCAAGGTTCTAATCCTTATGTAACCAGACTGCCATATCTTTCCTCATGGAGCATCGGGTGGGTTCAGACTGCCAGCCTTTCAGTTAGCAATTGCGAGTTCAACTACTACCCTACCACTACTCCTTAAACATGTGGAAGTCACACTGCAATGTAAGAATCAGGAATTCTCAAGCAGGGTAGTGTACAATTTTGTTGTATCTGTTTTGCTCAAATGTGCCTGCATTTACAGTTGTTTGGACAATAAGAGTTTGTGGAATTTCATCCTATAGAGTCCTAGTGTGGCGCTGTGGGTTAATGTGCTAGACCACAAAGTCAGTTTGAACTGAAGGTCAGCAGTTCAAACTCACCATCGCTCCTTGGAAACTCTACACAGGGTCACTGTGGGTCGGAACCAACTCAATGGCACTTAAGAACAACTACACTGTAGTAGGTAGGAGTCCTGGTGTGGCGCTGTGGGCCAAATGCATCAGACTGCAAAGTTGTTTGAACTGCAAGGTCGGTGGTTCAAGCTCACCAGCTGCTCCTTGGAAACCCTATATAGGGTTGCTATGGATCTGAATCAACTCGATGGCACTTAACAACAACAACAACTACTACTACACTGTAGGATAAGCACTGGATTGCTACCAAAAGGTTGGCAGTTCAAACCCACTAACTGCTCCTTGAAAACCCTAGTAGGGTCACTATGAGTCAGAATTGACTCAACGATAATGAACAAAGCCCCCAAGATTGCTAGGTTCCTTTTACTATATGTATTATGTAAAACACAGCTTTAGTAAAAATCAGTGATTGAGTAATTAGGATTTGATTGAAAGAAACTCAACTATATTCTGTTTTGAATTAAAATGAGATTACTTTTCCTAGATCTGATTCATTAGTAATCCTTGTTTCCATTAGCAAGATAGAAAAGATCAATGTTTCAGAGACTGAAAATTTTACTAGTAATTATTACTCATATATGTTAGCCATCAGATATTCCATTTTTCTCTCCAAAATTTAGATTAAAACCATTCTTATCTTCCCATTTTTAGTTTTCTAATAGCAAGAGCTGGTGAATATAAGCTACTGATTATATTTTGTTTCTTCAGCAAACCTAAAAATCAGATTTTCTATGTCCTAACCAACCCTGTTTTCTCTTCCCTTACCCTTTTCTCTATCGCCACCAAGGTGTTGCTTCATTATACCTCGTTTGTAATTAATCATTTTCTTTCATTCATTTTTTTCAGTCTTCTCCTCACTTTTTCCCTTTGTTTTTGTTAAGTGCCGTCAAGTCAGTTCTGAATCATAGCGACCCTGTATAGGGTTTTTTAAAGAGTAACTGGTGAGTTTGAACCAGTGAACTTGTGGTTCAAACCAACCTGGCAGTCCAGTGATTATCCTAGAGCGCCACATTTGGACTCCTCTTTCCTTTTAGTGAGGGCATTTATTCTTTGTCTTCAATTTTGTCATTTTGACTTGGAGTTTTGAGGTTTATTTGACAACTTATAACCCTCCTCAAATAGATCCATAATGGGTGAATTGTTTGAATTATCCAAATAATTTAACATTAAAAAATGTTTCACCTTGTCACAAAATAGTTGACACTGCATTCTTCTTTGAGTTTTGAGATTATGAGTGTCATGTGCAGTTACTGCTACCCTTAGATGCACTGGCAAACTATTTTCTCCTCACAAGAAAGAAAATACCACAGTTAGGAGAACCATACTTTCTTTCTTAAAACAACTTGTTTTAACTATTTCTGTTATTGTTCTAATATTTTGAACTAAATTTGTTGCCCTTGGTAGTGTGCTATGTATGGTGACTTTGCTATGTGATCTTGAGGGAAGAAGAAACAGAACCTACCAGCCATGAGAAAGAGTTGATGCCTAGTGGCATTCTACATTAAGTCCTTGTAAATTATGATGGAAAAACTAACAAGTAGGAATTTTGTAATCTGGTTTTTTCCATTGGCCTTTCAGACTCTTGATGATTGCAGTTTGAAAATCTCAAAATAAATTTTATTCAGGTCTCAGGAAGATTAATCAGATTAATTAAAATTTTAACAAAGTCTTTCTTTAATTAGAATAAATTGTTAGTTAAGGCCACTAGAAAGTGTCAGCTGGCTGTCTGCTTTCTGCATATTTCTTAGATGCTTCCAAAAAAATTAGTTATTTGTCAATACCTGGTAGAAAATTACCCACTTTATCTTCTAGTTAATTGAATGGCTATGTGCCTTTGAAGAAAGTATATCTCTTGTATATGCTTTGTGTAGTTTTGAAATTTGTGTTATATATTACTTTAAACGTAATAAGATAACTGCATTCCCCCACCTTTCTGGCTCATAGTTGGAAAAAGAATTTGAGCTGTATACAATTTTCAGGCAAATTGTCTTGAAATCAAATTCTGAAAACTACTAAGCCTTAAGGACCTTTTCTTCCCTTTTCTCCCTTTTGTTTTTTCCTCCCTTCTTCCCTCTCTCTTTTTCATCTTTTGCAGGATTAGGTGGGTGTCTTGTTCTGTTCACCTAGTATTTAATAGCACTTGTTAGGCTAGTGCTGTGATGGGCATCTACTGTGTGATATCCTCATAATTCGTTGGTGTGAAAGCAACAAAGACTTATTTTCTCTGTTTTGTAGAAAATTACAACTATTTTTTGAGATCTTTATTTTAAGAGGTTACCAATGAACCAGATCAGGGTCAAGACTGACCTCAACTATTTTAGTAAGAAGCAGAAAGAAAAATGAAATCCTAATGTTTCAATTTATGAGCTGAAGCTATGTGGGCATGAAATTTGGTATAGAGACTTAGGCTGCTTGTATACATTTTATCCTATAATAGTTGTGGAATGTGAAGATCTGAATTTTCATGGGGGCACTCACTGAAAATTCATGGCCAACAATGGATTTCTTACGGCCTTGTCATTTCAAATTGTCATGATGTCTGGTTATTGCTGCTCTTACTGTGTATATGTACCTGCCTCTCAATGAACTTATTGCAATGGTGCTAACTTGTCTTGACACTCTTGCCAACAGTTCTAGTGGCCCTTAACACTGTCTAGTTTCTGTAGTCACAGCACAGGATTTGAGGAGGAGTGAGCCTAAATTTCTGGGGTGAATACCTACAGACAAGAAATATATTGGCTTTAAAAATTAAGAGGTTTGATTCTGTTTTGAATTTGGATATCAAATGAATCTGAGCACATGACATTTTAATGCCGTTTGTCTTTTCAAATAGATTTACCTTCTTAATTCATGTGACGACAGGATTTTGCTCATCAGCTAGAGCATACATTTCAGAGGAGTTGTTACCTAAAATATTATCATAAGGCGTAAGAAAACACACGATTTAAGTTGCCTTTCATGAACATAATTAAGAATTAATAAGCCAGTACCAGTGGCTAGTCCCTAGAATTTCCACTGTTTTGCCTTTTGTGACCTATGTTATTAAAAGTCCATTATTTTTACAGACTTTATTAAATTGGATCTTATTAAAGCATTCTGTATTTGCATTTGGTCTTTCATAATTCATTATTATTATGACATTTACTTTTTACCATCAGATCTGAAAACATATCATAAGCTACCCTTTTCTCTTGAAAGAAATGCTAATTTCAAACAGTCCTCTAATAGAAGAGAAAAGCTTTATCAGTTTTTTCATTTATTCCAGATCGTGTTAAGAATACTAATGCTAGACTTCAGTATGCTAATATCTCTGTGCTTTTTTTGGTCAAAAGCTTAGAATTATTATTTTTATCCCATACTAAGTATGAAACTAAAGACCTGATACTACTGAAGAAAACACTATTCTAAAGTGTAATTCTTGATTCTAAAAACTTATGAAAACGTTTACATTGCTAAATCCTGTTTCTTAGAATGATACTACTCAAATTATCTTTGTTCCACCCCATATTGTTTGTCCTATTTAAGAAATTCTCTCTTCTTGAAATTAATTTGATTTGTTTTCATATAGTTTAGGCTAGTGTAGCTTACAATGTTTAGATATTAGAATTATGTGCTATCAGCCCTAGACAGCATTTCCTGCTTTTCTGTCTGATAATCATTTAGGATTTAGATTTTAAATCAATCTAGCAAAGTTTTTTATATTGGTATCAGGCAACCTTGTCTAATTTTAACATAAATAATAAAACACTTAATGAGGTTTCGGTGGGGAGGGGGCTTGCTAGTAAGTTTATTAAACTCCAAAATGACACTAACTTTTGGTTTAATTTCATTTTAGATTTCTGACAATGTGCAATAGACATTTTGGCAGCGTTGTTGCACAAACCATTCGGACTCAAAAAACAGATCAGTTCCCACTTTTCCTGATAATTATGGGAAAGAGATCATCTAATGAAGTGTTAAATGTGATACAAGGTAAAGTATATATCAGAGGAATAGAAACTTGTGTGTTTGATAATCTGATCATTTTTATTTCAAAACTTAAATATTTGTATTGATAAATTTTAAAATGTAGAATATCCTGAGGGAATAATATTTTCAAAAAGTACAGATTTTGTGAAAAATGGAATAGCACTACATGAAAATCCAGTGGAATCATCTTAATAAAATTACACAGCCCCTGGGAGATATATATATATTCAAGGTGAATGTTTAGAATTGCAAAATTATCTAAGCTAGCACTTAGATAATAAATATTTGTCAAATAGACATTTCATGTGTCTATTAATTTCTTGCTATAATGTTGATTAGTTGAAAGAAATGCTTATGTTCAGTTACTTAGAAAATCTAGTGACTGTATATTATAAATCAAATAGTTGACAATGGCACTTTTCTCCTTATTTGTGTGAATCCATGTCTAAGATTCAACCTGAGGCGTGAACCTGTAAGATGCCTTGTGAATGCATTCACAGTGCACAGTCTTTACAGTGGCTGATTTGTTTTGTTTTGTTTTGTTTACTGTTACTAGTGCACACCAAGGATTTATGTTAAATACTACCTTATTTGTGATAAAGCTTAAATTTAAAACAATACATATTCTCTATGCCATGAGAAAAAATATTTTTCAAAAAATACTTTCCTTAGCTAAAGCTTGCATAATATCTGGGATACTTCATTTCTGCCCCAGCTAAGTCAAAAGTTCTATAACAGATAAATAATATGATAGGGAAAAGGGAGGTAAATTCTATTTCTTTAGAAACTCAAAATAATCCCTGTCATATTTTATGTTTTCTTTATAACTACAGCATGCAGTGTCATTAACAATGTTAGAGACGACCTGCTGGGGGAATTGATTTGAATAGGGTAAATGGATAATGAAGATAACATTTTAATTTTTGCTTTTCCTATCAGAGGCAATATTGCAATAACTAGTTGCTCTAAAAGTATAGTTCAAGAACCACCACCACCTCTCCCCTCAGCAACCTCCCTAGATTCATGGACCCTTTCAGAGAATCCCTGAGGTTAAAATTACTTGGTGGATAATACTTGCATGTTATTTGCGTTTTACACTGTGTTGCTATTGGCACTAGTGGTGCAAAAGCAATGGCGTGTAAAACTGCTGACAGCTTAGCACTAATCAAGGCCATGGCACAGAACTGGACTAGGAATTATGTATTCACAATAAAAAAAATTTTTTTAAGTCATTTCATAATTCCATTGATGAAGCATTAAAAAGTATTGCTTATATTGAATCTAAGCCATTTAAATAGTTTATGAGATACGCTGGAAAGAGTGCTTAGAGCAGTTCTGCTGCATAACAAAATACTTGTGTGGTTGCTTCAATTGTGAGATGGACTTTTTTTTTTAACCAATCATCATTTTTACTTAAAAATAAGATTAACGGATAAACTCCAGTCATATAGCCTGAGTATTTGGCAGACAATTTCTAAAATGAACAAAGTGAGTCAATCACTTGAAGAAAAGTTGTTGACAGTATTTGATGCCAGCAATAAAATTGGAGTATTCAAAAGAAAATTTATATCCACTATGGGTTCCTGGTGTGGCACTGTAGGATATGCACTGGGCTGCAAACTGCAAGATGGTTCATACTCCCCCGCCGCTCCTTGGAAACCCAATATAGAGTTGCTATGAATTGTAATCGACTTGATGGCGCTTAACAACAACAACCATAAAATTAACAACTCAAATATTTTTCTGACAATATTAACAAATTTAATTTATGTGTGCTTTTGTTGTTGTTAAGTGCCATCCAGTCAGTTCCAACTCATAGTGACCCTGTATAGGATATCTGAGGAGCGGCTGGTGAGCTTGAACTGCTGCCTTTGCGGTTCAAACTGACCTTGCGACCTAGTGCTTATCCTAGAGTGCCACACCAGGACTATGTATATGGAGCTGTGGGGATAAAGCATTGGGCCGCAAAGTCAGTTTGAACCACAAAGTTGGTGTTTCAAAATCACCACCTGCTCCTTGGAATCCCTATACAGGGTCACTATGAGATAGGGCCGAATTGATGGCACTTAACAACAACAAACAGTATATATATGTGTGTGTGTATATACATATATATTCTGAATGTATATATACACATGTTGGAATGTGTCAGCATTTAAAAGAAATATATAACTCAGTAAGCCAATATTTTCCAAATGCATGCATGATGTTATAAAACCATAAACTGGCAAAAGATCCATTCAAAGTACGAGATAGACCAATGGATTTTAATGTAGCAGAAATTACAAATTTCATTGATATGGGTTCAAATTCCACATTACACCATTGAAGAAACTTCCACTTAACTGTTTGAATATAGTATCAAAGAAAAATATTCACAATTATCTATAAAAGATTAAGTATTGAAAACACTTTCTCCAACTACATATCTGTGTAAGGACAAATTTTTCTCAGGAAATCTTAACAAAAGCAACATACAAGAGGGCTTCAAAAAGTTTGTGGAAAAATAGAATTAAAAGATAATGAGAGTTTCCCATATATTTTTTTTAAGTTCCCTAGTATTGTAATTGGTATAATGCAAAAGCGTTTATGAAAATCCAGATGTCTAATGTTAAAGCACTGCCACTTTTCTCACTGATCTTTTGTTAAAATATTATTTTTTCCCATAAAAATGTATTTATATTAAGTAGTACTGTTGCTGCGTTTAAAGGAATTGATAAATGAATGTTTTAAATATTTCCATTTTAATTTCTAGTTAAGTTAATATTGATAGCTGTAATTCACATAAATAAAATTTATTTGGGGATCTCAATAGTTTTTAAAGACTGTAAAGGGAGTCTAGGACCAAAAGTTTGAGGACCACTGCATTAAACTATAAATTGATCCTAAGCTGCTTTAAATGGTACTTTTCTTCATCTTGGATCATTAAGGGCTTAAGTGTAAAGTACCTACAAGTGCAGTTTAGCATTGTGTCCTTCCAGGTAAGGTAGAAGCATACCTGATGAACAGTGACCTAAGTCTGAAAATCAATGACCAGCATATAATCACCTATACAATTATACCATTTTCCCATTGAGGATTCTAGTATGTTCTATAAAGTCTTCATGCCCTATGTTCTAAACGTTAGTCCCTACAGTTTGAAAATAAAATGGAAGCCTAGAGATTTTCCCAGTAATAAAATCTCCATTGAAGATGGTATTATACTTTTTGTCATCTGTCATATCTATTAATAATAATAACCACTAATGACTGTATATGTATTATGTGTCAGGTGCACTTTATATTATCTCTAATCTTTCAATTGTTATTTCTAATGTTTTCTATTTTGCAGATTAAAAAAAGATCTTTTGAGAGCTATAGTTACTAATTCAGTCACTTATCCACTTATTTGTTTAATAAATATTTATTTAGAAAGTGCTGGACAATTTGTAGGTACTAGATAATTTAGCTTGGTATTAGGATTGGAGCTGACTATAAAGCCATTTCTGTTTTCTCAGTACTGTTATACCATACCAAGATAACATTTTTTATCTAACTTATTTTTTGAGAGAGTAGTGCTGATGTGACTAAATTGGGGTGGGGGCGGTTGTTTGGTTTTTTATTTTTTTTTGCTAAGGACCACAGATGTTCCTTAACCTCATGAAGCCAGGGGTCATAAATAAGAAAAATTGGAAATAGGTCCATGGAAAGATCAGTTAGTCAAGCCTTCCTCTGGAAAGGTACCAGCTAAGATGCTTGCAGTTCATTACTCTATTTGTGGGCCATCTGATAAATGAGTCAAGAAAACCCCTTCTCAGGCTCTGGAAGAAGACTCAGTAAAGAGAATTGATGTATCTCTATGAATATTCAGACACTTTTTTTTTATATATATAGTTGCATCCAAAGCAAATAACAGGGACTTGATACATTCAGAAAATGGTATACATGTGCTAGACATATTTGTTAATGACGTGGACAGAGAATAAAATAGGATTAAGGTAAAGCAAACTTTTTAAAATACCCTCTTCATAAAAAAATTATTCTGTGGTAATTTGAAAGTTACCTGAGTAGGGAAAATGTCAATTGGGCACAAAAGGGAATGAAATTTTTTTTCAGAAATTGAATTTTGTTAGTTTTACCAGGGAATTTTTAGTAATAGGAAGCTTTAATTAAAAGACAATATGCTAAGGTGGCTTTTGAGTCATACCCATGTGGTTTCAAATCCTGGCCCCACCACTTAACCAGCTTGACCTTGGTCAGGCAGGTTACTTAAGCTCCATAAGCCTTGGTTTTCTTCCCTATAAAATCAAAATGATAGTACATTCATATTAAATGAGATGATAATATATGCAAAGTGCTTATCCTTATCACTGGTATATAAACAAATGATTGTTGTAGCTAGGGTTATTAACTAGCTTTCATAACATAAAAGACTTTTGATATTCATTACTTGGATGCTCTTTACTGTGCTAAAAATTATTTTGATTAAGAGATTACTCCCCTACCCACAATTCAATCCAGAGATGGCAATGTTTAATTTCTTGTATCTTATTATCCCACATGCCTGTGCATGTCTATAAACACTTACATAAAAATTATGTATGTAGTGTTTTAAAACAAACATGAGCATTTAATATTGTTTTATAATTTGCTTCTGTCATTAAACATGGATTATAAAATTATATCATGGCCAACATAGATCTCTGCCAGTTTTGATGACTTCTGCATATATCAATGCACAATTATTTATCCAATCTCTTATAGTTGGAGTCCATTTTTTTGTTTGTTTTACCACTGTAAGCAATTTTCCTTTAAATTATTTATAAGTAAATAAGTATAAGAACTTTGAAGAAAAAAAGAGAATGATTATTCCCTCAAATGTGAGTATTCTGAAATTTTAACTGCCAGCATACTGCTTTACTCTTTCATATTGAAATATTTCAATGAAAATATTTTAATTAGACATTAACATAGTAATCTGTATTTTTATAGACTGTAGTTATTCCTTTTTGATTAATTCTAGAATGACTTTCCATTTTTTAATAACCTTAATAATGTTAAGTTTGGAAATCTCCATGTGTTGCTAGGAAACACAACAGTGGATGAGTTAATGATGAGACTCATGGCTGCAATGGAGATCTTCACTGCCCAACAACAGGAAGATATAAAAGATGAGGTAAGGTCAAAGGTTAATTGGGATTTTGATGGATAATTTGTCAAATGATGGCACATACTCTTGGCATTCATAAATAAAGATGATGAAGATATATTTCCAGATTAACCAAGATCTGGTATTCCATGAGCCAATCCATTCTTATTATGACCCCATGTCCTAACAATTTGTTTACTTTTTTTTTATTATTATTTATGGACTATTTACCCGTTGCTAAATTTAGGGGACTTCTAGGAGATTGATTTTCTAGAAACAAATTCTGAAGCTTGTTTGCAGAGGAAACTTCAGTCTGGGAAATCATGAGTACAATATAGGTTTTATAACTCACTTTTAAGGTCCTAAAGCATTGTGAGAATTAGTTTGAAAAAAAAAAAAAAGAAACCTCCAGAATTCTGAATTCCTTAATTCTCCAAACATGTTTTAATTCTAACTGGTATAGATAACAGGAGGCATCAAATAAGATACCAATAACAATACTGATAATAACAATAATTGCTCATGATGTGCTGGACACTATGCTATATACACTTTACATATATCATCTCATGCGATACTTGAATTTTTCCTCCGGTTCCCTCAACTTGGGAAATTCTGAGTGTGTTTTTCCCTTTGGTGTCTAATTCCAAGTCTTTGCACATTTCATTGTAATATTTGAACTTGTCTTCTTGAGCTGACATTTGAAATTTTCTATTCAGCTCTTTTGCCTCCTCATTTCTTCCACTTGCTTTAGCATCTCTATGCTGGAGAGCAAGTTTCAGTGTCTCTTCTGTCATTCAATTGTCTTCTTGTCTTCTTAATGACCTTTTGATTTCTTCCTGTACAGTTTTCTTGATGTCATCCCACAACTCTTCTGGTCATTGGTCTTTAGTGTCTGATACATCAGATCTGTTTTTCAGATTATCATTAAATTCAGGTGAGATGATACATCTCTCTTCCTCTCCCAATATGGCCGCCTCAGCAAAAAATAAGAATAAGAAGGGAAAGACTATCTCCCTTACTGACTTCCTGACTAAGGATGGGGGGACCAGCGAAGGAAGCACCTATGTCCCCAAACTAGTCAGCTCGGCTGATGAAACAGATGACCTGGAAGGAGATGTTTCAACCACTTGACACAGTAATGATGATGACATGTATAGAATACCTCCAATTGACCGTTCTGTACTTCCCACTACTCCACAAGCTTCTTGAGAACCCAGTATCAACTGGAGCCATGTTCCCAAATCACGACCCTACACTACTTTTCTAGGGAATCTGCCCTGTGATGTGACAGAAGACTCCATTAAGGAATTCTTTAGAGTATTAAATATTAGTGCAGTGTGCTTACCACATGAACCCAGCAATCCAGAGAGATTAAAAGGTTTTGGTTATGCTGAGTTTGAGGACCTGGATTCTCTGCTCAGTGCTCTGAGCCTCAATGAAGAGTGTCTAGGTAACTGGGGAATTTAAGTGGGTGTTGCTGATCAAGCACAGGATAAAGACAGGGATGATCATTCTTTTGGCTGAGATGAAAATCAGGATTCTGACAAAACAGATACAGACTGGAGGGCCCGTTTTGCCACGGACAGCTTTGTTGACTATCCACCTAAATGTGGTGGTGATAGCTTTGGAGACAAGTACTGTGATCGTTATGATTCAGACCAGTATCGTGATGGGTACCATGATTGCCCCTTCTGGGATCTGGATCAATATGGAGGCCGGAATCAATATGATGACCGAGCAGCAGAGACTATGACAGAGGCAGTGGCAGAAGAGCATTTGGTACTGGTATCAAAGGGATACTAACTCCATAGGAGGTGGGGACCACTATAAAGACCTATACAACAGACAGGATGATCGGTCATGAGGCTCCAGAGATAATTACTCTTGGGATGACTGTAGGCAAGATGATAGAGGTCCTCCCAAAGAACCAAACTGAATCTAAAGCCTTGGGATGCTCCAAAGGAAGATGATCCCTCTGATGTTGTTGTCAGGTGCCATCGAGTCAGAACTGACTCATAGTGACCCCTTGCACAGCAGAATGAAACAATGTC